TCCAGATGTCTTTCCTATGCTGATGACTTCTGCATTTCAGACCCAGGTGTCTGTCCAAGATAAAACTATGTTCTGTCCTTGTGTCATCTCCTGCCAAGAGTTCAGCTACCAGCTGAAGCTCAGCATGAGGAAAGAGATCTGAATTTACTAAGCAGCAGATTGCCTGTCACTCAAACTCAGGCCTGCAGTTACACCTTCCATATGGGTCATTCCAGCTTCTGATAGCCAGACCTGGTCTAAAGGCTTTCTGGCTAACACTTTCTTTTTGTTTCATAAGAGCTGTTCCTCAGAGCCACTTGGAAATTTTGGGCTGCGCAGAGATCCGGCTGCACAGACCACCTGTGTGGGACCTAGACAAATCTTACTGAAGTAATGGGGCTTCATGCACTATTTTCAGTGAGAGATTGGTTTAAAAAATTTTTTTAAATTTTGTCTAAGTTTACCTGTAGAATATACAAATGTCCCCAAATAGTCACACTGGAGCTTCTGGGTGCAATGCCAGATTTTTGATTTACTGCACAAATATCTTAGAGGCTTTTGTCCTTTGATTCCTCCTTTGTATTCCAACCTGCAGTTCAAAAAACCACAAAAACTTGATCAATATAACTGAGCAATCAAATGGTTAACTGTTCTCTCCTAAGCCTACTTGCCCTTTTGAAATTCAAAAAAATGCTGATGTGCCATGTTAGTTATGCATACTAAAAATCATTAATACCACAGAAAAACAACAGTAAAAGAGAGCTAAGCCAGGTTGTATGAGAGAGTTGCAGTCAGCAGTGACTGCAATGAGACGCAGTAGTGGTGCCAGGGTTTAGGTTACTTTGGACTTAGAGACAGACCTTCTGAAGACCAGCCCACGAAGGCAGTTGGTTATTGGCACATGTTTGTGACTCCAGGTTTGCTTCTTGATAGCGATGGAGACATGGGAGGAATATTTCTGTCCCTGACAGAGTAGGGATCATGTGAAAACGTTCCTCAAATCGTCCCTTAGATGAGATGAGAGTTGTTATAACTCAGTTTGTGACTGTGTTGTTTACATGGCTCACTTCATTAAGCAGAACAACCAGTTCAGCTGATGAGAAAATTAGATGTGTTATGAACTCACTTTGCTGGCTTTGTGCCCTATTAGATTGAAAAGGGATTGCTTGCAACTATTTCAGGTTCATACACGGCTCCCATTACTGCTCTTTGTACCACCAAAAGTCTGTGTGTTTGCAATATTCTTGTCAGCTAGGACACTGGTATCTCAGTGATTTCATATTTTAGAAGGGGAACTGAGGCACTACAAGATTAACTTACATGCCTAAGACCACATGAGAAATCTCTGGAGAAGCAGAGATGTGAAGCCAAATAGCCAACCCCACTCTTGATTTCTACTGGCCTTTCTTTTCACCTCCTACCTCGTGCCAAGTCCTGTCTGGTTTGGGATGCCAGTGCCCCAGGGGATATGTGTAGCTTTGCCTCTCTCTTTTGTAAAACACTGAAGTACTTAACGTGGTCATGATTAACACCAACAGCTTTATAAAAATAGGAAATCTCAGACACTTACAGAAGAAGCCATCAGATTAATATAACATTATGTTATAAAAACAGTTCCTGCTCCAAGGCTTTCTGTGTATTTAGACTACAGTCATTACTGTGGCACAAAAACACCCCAGGAAAGGGAGGTGAGCTGTGACGTGCAGAGTGACAGCAGTGATGGCACTGCCGACGTCTAACAGAAGGTATCACCTTCTTAACCTCTTCATATGACACCTCCCTCTTTGTTCAGAGGGCCTCAAGTTTCCTAGGAAAACCAGTACCTAGATTTATATGTTAAGGGAGGGGTTCTCAAAAGCACTGGACTTTGGTCCAGTTGATCCCTCTGAATACAGCAAGGGTTTTACTGACGATGGCATTCAATGTCAGCGTGCTTAGGTCAGAGCAAAGTGTCTTTGAGATCCACCCTTGGATTACCAAGGTGTAAGGAACTGGCCATATGAAGGAATTTTAATTTTATGAATGTAATTTTTCTTGTCTCTTATGACATACACATATGAGGATACCAAGTCCCAGTATCAAGAATTGGAGGTTTCCTCCAACTTTGTACTTTGAAGCATATTCTGTGACACTGCCAGATTGAATAACAATTAGTAATGATAATAATTAATACTCAGTTTCTTGTGGTTTGACAGCTGTAAAGCAGGTATGCTAGAAAGGTCTCTTGACCAAACTCCTACTAGCTACTGTGAGGTTGAAATCAAGCATAGATGAATGAAGATTATGGAAATATGTGTTCCTTTCCCCTTTATAATCAAGAACTAAAAACACAGCTGAGCATTCCTAGTGATCCAAAGTCATGTTAGCTGGGGTGGAAAAGCTCTAGAATAACATCTGTTAATATGGAAGTTAGGGAAATGTTAGAATACGTAAGAAATAAGTAATAAATAACTCCCATTTTGAAGGAATGAGATGGCAGGAAAGCGAAAGCCCAAGTCTAGAAAGGTTGAGTTAATATTTGGGAAAAAAAAATGTTTTGGTGATCTTTTGTGTAGCTATTGAGCTTTAAGACTTGACATATTTGGAGCAGACAAATTACTGTTATTGAATTTTACTATTACAGTTCTAAGTTTCACATTTAAATGACCTGGTAAGTGTAAAAGTCCCCAAGTTGAACATTTTTATGTGTCAACTCCTTGTCCAAATCCTTACAGCTGGCAGCTAAATTTTGTCTATCCCACCCCTTTAGAGATGGGAAAGATTAATGCTTAGTCATCTATAGCAGAACATGTAGATGCTGTAATAAAGAACAGTGGAGTTTGTTTTTTTTTTGGGGGGGGGGGGGGTGTTGGGTTTTGTTTGGGTTTTTTTTCCCAAAAATAGAATAAACTTGTGGTATTCTACTCTAGCTCTGCATAAAGCAAGTTCATTCAGTGAGGTAATTTCTTACTATGCTTCTTATAGTTGTCTTGAAGTTGAAATTTGCATCTGGGGTACGTTTTAAAGCATAGTTCTGGTCTCTCCCATAAGGAAATAGCCAAAGAAAAACAGTTGAGCAGAGCATTGAATGGCTGCCCTTTTAATGCTGAAACAAAGGCACTGTCCCACTGTTTCTATATCCCTGAAATGTGCCAGGACCACACCTCTGGGAGACAAAATCCTTTATTCTCATCCCAATTCTGTCACTCTTTGCTATGTGCTCCTTAGAGAAGCCCGTGCTTCAATTATCCACATTACATTAGCAGAGAACATCAGTGGTGTGAAAAGTATATGCAATAAATATGACTGAGACCATAACTGTCAATGCACATAGGTAGATCCATCAGGTGCATCAGCACTGAGGGTTTTCACGTGGTCCTTTGTACTGTAGGCTTCTTGGGTGGAGACGACGAAGGATGAACTGCTGATCGCAGTTGGGTGGTTCTTGTCTCACAGAGCTTTGGGTACCGCATCTCTTGAAAGGCTGAGCTGTTTCAGAACAATCTATATGGCTTTTCTCTGCAGAGCAAGGTGCAAATACCTGGCTCTCCACAGCAGCTAGGCATTGTGGATGTGATGAATCTAGCCTCTGCACAGACATCGGCTTCCTAGCGCTCATGAGGCAGTCCTTGGAAGTCCTTGGGGAAGTGCTTGACCCTCTCTCTGTCCCAAAAAGGCAAAAAGCTCCTGCGTCACACCCCTGAGGAGGAGGCAGGTGCCCTTGTGTTACAGCAAGCTGCTTTTCTTTTAGACCTTGTAATGCTGTTTAAATTATTGATATCACCCAAGGAGGAGGACATGGGGAAGCAGTCGCTTATTCCCACAACTGAGAGAACAAAGGGAGCATGTAATTGCTTGTGTTTCCAGCCCTGCCGGGCTGTGAGATTTGCTGCTTGCTTATTATGGAATTTGATTTCACCAGTGGTGTGACCGCAGGGTAGTTACTGCAAACTTATAGTTGCACAGGGAAAAGTAAGGTAGGTGAGTTTACTCCTCAAAAGAAGTAGTGACTGTGATACCCACCATGCTTTCCTCTGTCTCGTGCACTGGGAAGGGCTTCACAACTGACTTTCCCTGCCGGGGGCAGAAATGGGGTGCAGCTGCATTTGCACTCTTGTCTGCAGAGTGTGGGGCAGTGCATGGCACTGGTGCCACCCCAGCAATCATGAGCCATCGGCAAGTCCCCAGCAGGTCACCAAGCAGGAGCTGTGTCCCTCCTCCAAGCACCAGGAGGGAGGGAGGTGTGGAGTGGCAGCCTGGCCCCTGAGCTTGCAGCTTCACCGAGCACCACGGACTGGGAGCTTCTAAAATTGAGACCGCTGACAAAAATCAGAATTTCTATCTCAAATGACTTGGATTTGCTTTCACTGCTTTATCACTGGGGATGAACGTGTTTCATGGATCCTGATTTTAAATTTGGGCTTGAGACAGAAGTCTTACTTCAGGACTGGGATCCAGGACAAGGCAAAGAAGAAACATTTACACTGGGAGAATGGGAAGTGATTTTAATCTGAATACAACTTGCACACAGAAAGCCAACTGTTACCTCTCGGATACAAAGAAAAATGGCACTGTTAGCTTTAAATAATGTACATTTCCAAGATGTTGCCCAGCTGTTAATCATTAACCCTGTAGCAGGTTGAAGCATAGAGACAGATGTTCCAAAAGCAGTTTTATTTTCTGAAATAAAGTGAATGAAGCTATGAACTAGACAAATTAAGAAGAAATTCAAATATTTACACCCAGTTGAAACAAGATGCTGGAAAAACAGGCATGATAAAATTGCTGCAATTAAATGTAATTTAATTTATAATTCTGAAAGCATGCTTCTTCCAAAGGCAGCCTTTGAGTTTTCCTTATGGAGTGCATTGTTGTGATGTATGGATTTTCCTGACTTCTTATGGCATTTTAATCAACAGTTCAACGATGTGATAATATTCCTAAAGCAGAAAAATAAGTGACGTTTGTTTAGACATAATTAATGAAATATTTATGTTGCATGAGGCTGTGTGATAAAGCCTTGTTCTCTTAGTCCATTTGCTTCTGATTACATTTGTGATTTTTTTATATGACCAGACATTCTGACGCCAACTATTTTACACTGAGCAGATGTCATGTAGTAAAAATGGGTGCCAGATGCTACAAGCCACATAAGGATAATTTGTTTAAGAGCTGGCTCAGACTTTTTGCATTCAATTACCCTGTATAGTGAGCCTTATACAATCATTTGGGTAATATGGCTAACTTCAGATATACATTTTAATGAATGTTGAGAGCCTTCAGAACAGCGTGGTACATGCAGGGTGCTCAAGGAATTAATTTATTTGTATGTAATACCTGAAAAAAAATCAAATATACCCGGACAGAATTTTTGACAGGGATCAGAAATTTAATTGATGCCATCAGCCAAATTTCCAAATTGCTCTAGGTGCTGCTGATTAGAATTCAGGGCAGGTGCAAAGTGTCTATATAAGTTAAAGAACAGTATTTTTTGCTTCAATGGCTATTTTTTTTCCTGCATTTTAGGATATGAATACCTATCTGTCAGAAAACAAGATACCGAGTATTCAACTTCTTCCTCTGATGATGAATTTGAATCCAAGCCTTCATTAACACACAAGGTAACCTTGACTTCAAAACATAAAGATATTTCCTCAGTTGCACTGTATTTATCATATGATTTTGATCCAAAACACACGCAATTTCTCAAAGTGGGGATGGGAATGCTTTATCAGTGGAAGTTCCATGTCATAGAGAGAAAAATACATTAAAACTCTTTAAGGCAGATGAAAATCAAAATTTCTGTTTCCCCTTTGGATCTTTAATTCCCCTAGGTTACACCAACATTGACAGAGAAGGTCTTAATATGACAAGCAGACGTGTTTCACTGAAACCACTTTGAAGCTGCATTCTTAAGTGGCCTTAATATGTAGCCCAACAAGCAAACCATTGAAAAAATTAAACCAAACAGATGCAGATTTCCCTTGGGGAAATACAACTTCATTTGAGAGACGCTACAGGCAGATTGCATGGAAAACACTGTGTTTATCCTAATCAGAACAACTGTGTGAGCTGCGAAGTCAGACCCAGACCTTATATGCCGAAAGAACCGGCTGCACTCCGGGATCTCTGAGCCCTAACTCGATTCCTGTGGCTGGCAGGAGTGGTGGGGTTAAAGCACCAGTGAACTCTCGATACACAGCTCTGATTTGAAGGAACAGAGCTTTTATTGCCTGCATAGCTCATCAGAAATGTGTTTACCTCTTTCCTGTGGAGGGAATATCAGTAAGTGGAATTAATAGTATGAGGTGGCCTTTTGATTTGTTACCTTGGAGGGGGAGGGAGGAAAGGAAGGCAAAGCAAAACACTGTCCACTATGCTGGAAAACACAGCTGAGCTGAAAGCTAAGTGGGGCTTTGAATGGAAACCCAGTTGCACAGCTCTAGAGGAACCGAAGCGCCCCGAGGCAGAAGCGCAGCAACATGTGGCGGCACGTCCCACCGGTGGCTCTGTGTCAGATGCGTTGAGATGTCAGAATTCACTGTTCATCTTTCCTGTTACAGGAACGATAATATTATGGTGAATTACATAAAGTTTAAACAAAAGAGAGAAAAGAAGGGATACATGGGAGAAAACTGAATAGGAGCAATTCCCAATGGTCCAGGCAGCGGCAGAGATGGGCAGGACCAGGCAGTGGGGAAGGCAGAGCTGCCGGGGCCGCTGCCAGGACCGGGGTGAACGAGCAGCTGTGTTAGCATGATGCACGTTTCCCACTCAGCTTGTTTCTTTCGACTGCCTCCTAGCACCTCTTCTCACGCCAGCTCTGGCTGCTATTTTGCCAGTACCACCATTTGGCAAAACTCAGTGGGAAAAATTTTAGCGGCTTCCTGGCTTGTTAGTTTATTAATCGCCTTGTGTACGGCGCTCGTGCATTGTGCCTCCTCCAAAATGGGAAAACCACAACCTTAAAGCACTTCCAGATAGCTTGGGTCAAGGGCAAGCCGGAGCACACAGAGGTGATTCCCTCGGCCACCCCCGCAGCACATTCTGCCCCGCTTCCCCGGCAGCAGCGACAGCTGCCCCAGGGAAAGGCAAAAAACCTCTGTAACGCAGCAGAGAAATGGCATTGGGGAAGGTTTCGTAGGGCTTCAGGTAGTGTCCTGTGACAGCTGTGTCTTTCAGATGTGTCCCTCTTACAGTGTTAGAAGTGATCCAAAGTGAGTTTTACTTCTTAGTAGCTACAGCAATAGAAGTGGGTTGAATTTTCTTAAACTTTCCATCACCTGTGCGTGGTTTCTTCCCTGGTGAAGGTGATGTCTGCAGAAGCCACGTATAGCAGAATGTTGTATATAGTCAGCTTTGTGATTTGGACATTCTTTTCATTGGTAGACACAGTTCACGCTCACTTAGGGTTGCAAAAAGAGCATGTAAAGATATAAAGTCCATGTAGGCAAATGCATGACCATATTGCTACATGAATATTTTCATTTCAGTCAGGTTGCCCTAAGCACCCTACAGTAGCTCACCTCGCTTTTGAGCAAGGGAGTCGGGTTAGGCGGTCTCCAGCGGTCTCTCCAAACCTCAATGGCTCTGTGATTCCGGGGAAGGTTTGAGGAAACCTGTAATGGCATACTTATGCTTTGATTGCCTGTTTTTTCTCTCTCACTTTTGTAGGCAAAAAGGACTCTCAGAAGGAGAAGGAAGCTGGAGAAGGAGACAAAGCAATTGATTAAACAAGAGGAGCTGAAGAGGCTTCACAAAGCACAGGTGAAAATGTAGCTCGCAGAAGTCTCATTTGTCTCCCAAGAGTGACAAGCGGGGAGGTGGGCTCCCCAGTGTGGGCTCCACACCTCCCCTTGCTCCTCACTGCAGCTCACTGCCTTCTGTGAGGAAATCCCCCCCAAACAATCAGGAGCAGAAAGATGTATGTGGTGGGGCCTTGCATCTCTATATCTGACAAATCCACGTGTGCCCCTGGAGATGATCATAATTTTGTAATTGTATATGAGGAACAAAAGAGAATAGTGACTGGCAATAAAAGAAGAATACACTTAAGAGGAAAAGAGGTAGAAAGGGAGAAATAATATCAGTCCCTGAGAATGTAAGAAACTCAGCTATTACCCCTATCTACTACAGGAGGGTATGAATATAATGTGATGCTTTTTGTTTTCTCTCTGCCACAGCAGTGAAAATCAACCGTTTTCTTTTTTAATTATGCAAAGTCACTGAACTTTATACAGGCCCTGCTCCTCGGAAAATGCTGGAAAAGCTCTGGACGCTGCTAATGTTTTATTATTTCCAATTGCAGTTCAAAGATTTGGGAATGCCCTTCTGCATGACTTGATCTCAAACTGTGTTCTCTCTGGTGTCAGAATTTTCAGGTTTATCTGTTTCACTTACCACACATAATATCTATATGCATATATATACACACACACACACACCCCCTCTTAACAGTTTATGTGGCCCTGAGCACTTTTTGTGTGCATCTGTACTGTAGCTTAGGGCAGAGAAATTTGAGCTAGATTTAATCTCATTAATTCAGGTTGTAATGGTAGTCAAGATCTGGTAATGGGGAGAGCAGGCTTTTTACAGGCAGGGTTCTCCATCATCTGTTGTATTACCATAGGAGGTAGATAGTTTTGCTAGTCCTGTACCAATATTAAATTAAAAAAGAAAATTAAGAAGTTATTTTTCATACATGAATCTGAAATCTCTGTTTTTATAGACATCACTGCTTTTTGCAAAATGTATTGCTGAAAAGGAGAGAAATTTTGTGTTTGAACCAGACAGTGGATTTTAGAAAATGCTAATGTCTAGCCATTACTATAAAATCCATGACAGAATAAAGCCCATGGGAAAGAAAAATAGTGTCAAGGTTTCAGCTGGGATGGAGTTAACTTTTTTGCTTAGCAGCTGGTGTAGTTCTCTGGTTTGGATTTGGGATGGGAGTAGTGTGATAGCACATTGGTGGGTTTAGTTGTTGCTAAGTGGTCAAGGCTTTTTCTGCTCCTCGCACGGCCCCATCAGTGAGTAGGCTGGGAGGGCACAAGAAGTCAGGAGAAGACACAGCCGGGACAGCTGACCCCAAGTGACCAAAGAGATATTCTATAACATATGATGTCATGCTCAGTATATAAAGCTGGGGGAAGGAGAAGGAAGTGGGAGACGTTCAGAGTTATGGTGTTTTGTCTTCCCAAGTAACCATTATGCGTGATGGAGCCCTGTTTTTCCTGGAGATGGCTGAACACCTGCCTGCCGATGGGAAGCAGTGAATGAATTCCTTGTTTCATTTTGCTTGCGTGCGCACCTTTTGCTCTACCTATTAAACTGTCTTTATCTCAACCCATGATTTTTTTCTCACTTTTAGTCTTCCGATTCTCTCCCCTCATCCAATCAAGCAAGCGGCTGCACGGTTCTAGCTGCCAGCTGGGGTTAAACCACAACAAATAGTATCTTATTTAATCCAAAGAACAACTATGTTATAGTTTTTAATCTGAGAATTGTAGATCATCTCAAGGTACAACTAGATGCATATGCCACATCTCTTATTTTATTGCTTTGTGGAAATAATCAAGCCTAAACTTTTCAAACTACCTTTCATGTTTGTTAGGCTGTTGCTGAGGGCTTGGCTTGGTGTTCCCTAACAGAGCCCAAAATGGGAACTGCTGAGCATCTCTCTGTGACAATTTAACCTTTTAAGGTGTTTCATGCCTGTTATCCACATGGCACCTCTGAAAATCTTATTTAAAAGGGGATGGATCAGTGAATGTGGAAGTCCTTCCTGAAGTGCCACTGAATTATCACTTTGTAGTTACTAGACCCTTTCCTCCCTGTGTCAAAAGCTTGTGAAACATGAAAGAAAAACAACCAACAAAACCCCGTGGACAACAAAATAGTTAGCAAAGCTTTCCAGCTGTAACCCTTTGATATTTATATGAGCTTTATTCATGTAGCATCTCCAAAGTTGTGCCTCTGAACGTGTAAGGTATTGACTTTTCACACCTTGCGAGACACAGAAACTTTATGATCTCTGTTTTACAATGGGAGAGCTAAAGTTCAGAAAAACTGAGGTTCTTTTAGTACCTACAATACTTACTGACATAAAAATGTGGATAGATACTTAGTGGAATTATTAAATTGTTTAGGCGCCTAATATGCTCAATGAGTTTGCAAATCGTACGACTTCTCCGAGTCCTTTTCAAGCTGTTTCTCTAACCACTGAGACCATCTTTTGTCTCTGAATTTTTAAGCTATGTCTGTAGCTTTTATATCATAACCATTTTGCAGGCAATCCAGCGCCAACTAGAAGAATTGGAGGAAAGACAAAGAGCACTGGAAATCTTTGGTGTCAAACTGGAGAGAGAACTACGAGGAGAATCGGGTAAATGAGGCATTGTGTGTTTGTTTGTTTGTTTGGTAGTTGTTTTTTAACCTTTTTAAAAGCAGAGGGTTTTTAGTGATTGTCATAGAAATAGAGTTCTGTGCAAAATCTGAAATGAAAGAGTAACTGGAAGGACAAAAATCATTGTTTACCCTTTCCCTCAAACTCTGTTAGCTCAAGCACCTTTACACTGGGTGCTATAAATTTCTGTTGGCTATCACAGATGTGGAATTATTTGCCTTGCTATTGAACCTGAATCTACTTCTTTTTCCCCCCCCATTTTTTAAAATCCCATCCTGAGCTTAATTTCGTCTTCTAGAGGGAACCAGTGAGGTTCCCCGGAGCTGTATCTCAGTTACCAAGCCAGCAGCAGCCCAGCCCTAGTAACAGAGTCCTTAATGACTTCTCCCAGAGTGTGAAATGCCATTAATACGATTAGAGCTGGTGGCCATGCTATAGCAACAGCAGCATGCAGGCACACAGACCTGAACCATGCAGCCTTTCCCCCAGTGGGTAGAAGATAACAGGGACATTGTCCTGGCCCCGGTCGGAGGCAAGGTTTTCACTTGCCTGAACCAACAGTCCCAAGCAGCCAGGACTGTGGCGTCCTCCCGCCGGCCCAGCCTTATGAATGCTCCCCAGCGCTCATGGGGTAAAGCTGGGGAGACCTCTTGCAGAGGGGATGGGACATCTGGGGACTCCTGCCAGGCTCAAAATGGGGATGGGAGTGTGAACGATGCATGTAAGGGACTTCAGAGGGGGCTGTGGTTCTGTGCTGACGGGATTCTGGGGAGCCGACAGCCCGATTGCAAACGTGTCTTTATTTACCTCTGTTTTAGAAAGCTGAGCCTCGTGCTTTCATGACAGGCAGTTGCACAACACTGAAAACCTAGCTATATTTTGGCACCTGATCTTGTTGTTGTCTTAGCTAGGCAACCCAGCACAATCTCTACATGCCAGGATTTTTAATGCCGTATTTCTTAGCAGTTATCGCCCCTATTCTAACACTGAACTAATCAGTTCAGCAAGAAGGCATTTGTCCAGCCTTTTATATTTATTAACCAATTTCCTATAATTGATAGTGCCAACCTATTTCAAATGTTATTTAAAAGGTTAGCATCTCTTTTTTTTTTTTTTTTAATGCCGTATTTCTTAGCAGTTATCGCCCCTATTCTAACACTGAACTAATCAGTTCAGCAAGAAGGCATTTGTCCAGCCTTTTATATTTATTAACCAATTTCCTATAATTGATAGTGCCAACCTATTTCAAATGTTATTTAAAAGGTTAGCATTAACCATTTATCAAATGGCACCCACCTTACCACCTGTGAGAAAGTCTGCTAAAAAGACTTTGAGGATTTGGAGTGGTAGCTTTTTTCTTTACTGCTCGTTTGTATAAGGGTGGATGGTTTTTGGAAAGGTCAAAAATATAGAGGGACAAGAGGCTTGTAGCTCTTGGGATAGGCACCGAATACCAGCATAAATGGCCTAAAGCCACCTCTTGTTTTTGCTGTTTTGACAATCACATTTCCTAAAGAAGGCTGTCTGCCAAGAGATTGATGCTTCTCATTCTCTCCCCATCCTTAGTAATTGGATTGCCCTCATTAAGGTGAAAGTACTATTTTTTCTCCCTGTTGATTGTTTGTGTGTAGGTGGCCAGTTACAAATAGGGCAGATACTGAAACGTAGGATGTTACTGTCTCTCAATAACTCTTCTGGTGCAAAAGCATGAAGCTGTAAGTTTCCCAAACAAAATGTGAGTGCTTTGTTGCTTGTAATAACATACGTGTAATGATGCAGGAATCGGTGAGTTTAATATTCCGTTCAACCTTCTTAAAAATAATGAGCGTTATTGTTTAATGAATAACCAGTGTTTATTAGGTTAAGTTGTATTTAAGGAGGTCTGTGCTTATGCAATTCAAGTGATTTAATAGGTATTATTAAGGTAATTAGAAAACGATCACAGTTCAGCAATAATATTGAGCTGCAAAGGTTGTGAATAACCAAATTTAGAGACAGGCCTGCAAACACTAGTCTTCAGTGACATTTACGGAACTCTCCTCTAATAATTCTGTAAGCCCGGGATGAATGGCCCCTTTGTTAGGGGGAGTTATTCATTAGCTCCTCAACTGAATTAGAAGAGAACATGCGTGGGTGTGAAACAACTGCCATGAAGACTGATGAGCAAAACGAGGCTTTGATGATCTTCTAATTGTAGTGACAACAATTCATGCATTAAAAAAAAAATAATAATATCAGTCCTATGAATAATTTTTCATGCCCGTTATTTACTTTATTCTGGTTTGAAATACCAAATAATAAATCATTGATGTACCATCACTTTGTTTTCCACTGACATTTGTGGAGGCTTATGGAGATCTTCTGCCTACAAGAAAATACAGAAATAAAAATCTCGAAACACGTTTTCCACTGAAATTAGCATAACCGATCAGCTGACTAAACAAATGAAGAAGAATGATGGTAAACAAGAAAATCTGTGTTGAGAGAACGTTAAGAAATGTCTCCATGTTTTGGAAGGTGAACAAATATCTGCACGTGTTGCAGCTAATTTTTGATTTCATAAGGAGCATATCCAAGGTTTCTAAGAACATTCAACAGAGTCAAAAGAGATCACTTGAAAACCTGTAGGAATAAGAAATATGAGGCTTAGCTGTTCCTAAAAAAGCGTAAACTGGCTGAGCCCCCTTTACTGTGTGACTTCTGTATGGAGGGACAGCATAGCATCACTCTGGAGAACAGAAGGGTGAGCTTTTGAGAACAATATTCAGCAAATACTCCTCTTCAGCCTGTCATTGCCTCAAAAGCAATGAATATAGAGATAACTACAATGTAATTAGAAGAATATCTGACTTTCAAACAGGATCCAGGTTAAAGGAGACTTGGGTAAACCAGGAAGAAAGCTTTGCTTTAGCAATGCTGTAAGAAAAAGCCAGTGTGGCTCACAAAACAAACTCTCAAATAGTTTTCCCTCTAACCTGTAAAAAGATCTGTCGTACTGTGTTAAGAAAAAGACTTCATTGGCTTATTCTGCCCTTGGAAGGCATAAAGCACTCCATCAAACTTAAAAAACAATTAACATTATTTTTAACAAATATTTGAAAAGCTCAGGGAAAAAAAATGTCCCTGGCGACACCCGGGGGGCATTCTGTGGGATAGAAAAGGAAGAAAAACAAGGACTATCTTTATTTCAGCTTGCACTGACGAGTTTGCTAAAATGGGTGGCATTTTTGAGAAGTGCATAATTTTTTTCTTACCTCAATCAACCTATGATACACAGTCTTTTATTAGAGATATAGACTTTAAAGTTTAAAGAGGAAATGTTAAAAAAAATAATTGCCTTATCAAGAAAACAACCAACAGAGACTAGCAACCCTCTGTGTGTGTGCAGGACACGCACTTACCTGCAATTGCCATGATTTTAATGACAGTAAGATAGATCAAAATTCAATGATAACTTCTGATGGTGGCATACGAAGACCTAAGGCTCCAAATAATGCTGCATCCCTGCATTGGATCTGTGAGAAGATACCATTGACACATCCCAGAGAGAACTGCTCCAGCAGTCACTCTGACAAGACTTTTTTTTTTTTTTTTTTTTTTTTATCACAACTTGCTGACCTGGAAGAACCCACAGAAAACATCCATTACTGCCAAGTTTTAATGGAATTGGGTAGAAATTGGACCAAGATTTCTTTGCCCTCTCCTGCTGCTTTATCTTCCCTTTCACGGTAGCTTCAGATTGGGGTCAAACCCTGACGAGAAATCGCAGAACTGTGCCCAATCCAGCATGACTCCTGTCCTCGGTGTGGGAGCTCACGTAATTCCACCGATGCTGGCAGGAGGTGACCTGGGCTCTCTGGGATGACAGTGCCTGGTGAAGGCATGCAAATAGACTGGGGATCCCAAACACCTAACAATTTCCCTCCTGCCCAGGAAGACTGCTAAAGGACGGCGTAGGGTGATATCGTTACTGCCTGAAGGAGATGGGCTTTAAACTGCTGATCTTGAGTGGAGTCAAATCCTGGCTTTGACCTTAAAGTGAGGGGCAGCTGAAGCAGTAGAAGCAAGAGGGTAATTCCTGGGGCTGAGAAGAAAGCACATGTCAAAACAACAACAGAAAGGCATCCGAAATGCTGCTGATCTGGCAGGGACTCTGTCTATCTCTGCACTTAGTAACCTAGTTTAATGATACTCTTGTAATTGTCATCTCTGGAGCTTGAACCTGAGACCTTTGGGCTTCAATTTCTGAGATCTTGGTCATCTGAAATAAAGGTGCAGTCCCTTTAAAGCAGGAGAAATCCTGTAAATCTTCATCCACAGAAAATAGCCAGGCTGGTTTATGGGGAACTTATGCTTGGCTACCTAGCAGCGTGACACTAAGACTGAGGAGGAGAGCGCTGCGTTGCCCCGCTTGCCTGTAGCACCTCTTTTTGCTTTGTTCCCAGGTCCAGCTGTCCCTGCTTCCAACACACAGCAGCAGCACAGTGGGGTGTGCAACTACCATGTGCTGTGGCAGGAGCACGGGATGGCTGTCGGTTTTATGCTTCTGAAGGGGTCAGCGTGTCACCTAAATTATTGCCTCAACCTGGAGCAGTGTAGGATATTTGCTTTCTACAAATGATCGCTATTTTGTGGCCACAGAGGGCGGATGGGCAGAGCAAACACTGTGGGAGGTGTGTTTGCAGTACCATCGCTGCTGCCATAATTCTGCACCAAAGGGTGGTGGGGTGGTTTTGTTTTGTGAAGAAAGCGAATGGAAAATGTGAAGTGATGAGCGTGTTAAAAAGGACAGCAAGGAAAAGAAACACATATGTGCTCTGACTTTCCACTTGAAAACACCCGGGGGTTCTTCATTGCCAAAGATTTTTGCACAGATGGCATTTTAGGAGCAGTAAAGGCCCTCACCTGGGGAAAGAGAAAGTCCACCACCTCCTCCTCAGTAAAGCAGAGTCAAGCTGTGAGCTCTCTCTTTGGGAGAGAGACCATCTCATGTTTCGTGCCTGTATAGTGCTTACCAGTGATGCCCTAGCCCAAAGTCTTAAAAAAACACCCAGTAATAATAATTTGTCCTGTCCCATGGCCTTTCCTGTCACTTAAACCAGATGCAGATTTAGAGGCCAGTTGACAAATGAATGGAAGTTTGTTGGGGATTTGATTGTGTGTCTGATGCCCACTGGAAGGAGGGACTAACTTGATACTTGCCAGCATGTACACCTTGATGTCTGATTGTGTTAATGGAATATCCATTTATACATATAGTTCAGCTGCTGGAGTCCAGTATCAACAGAGAAACTATGTTATCAAAGGCAGAACTAAGAAAAAGAAAATGACCATTGAAAAAAGAAAGTCTATGTGATTTTTTGAAAGAAAAAGACTTAACTTGCAAAACAAGTGTCTTTAAATCTAACACACCTTTAACTGTAATAAACTACAACATTCAACCAAATGTAGTCAAGAATGTTATACCTGTTATACCCAGACTTTACTGATGTAAGTTACATACAGCGAAAAAAATCTACATTTGGACTCACCTGGCTTACAAATGAGGAGTATTTAAAGTGAAGTTAAATGATAAGAGCATTGGAAAGAAAGCAGGTAAAGCACACAACTCTCCTATTTTAAACAGATTCAGGCACAAAGGATGAAACTCAGATGCTACATGAATGGTTTCAGCTGGTCCTGGAGAAGAATAAATTAATGCGTTATGAGTCTGGGCTCCTGATTATGTAAGTAAGGACAAGCATTAGTACTAAAGATGGGGAGGGGAAAAGTGTACTCACGTTACACCTGAACACCTTGCTGCATACTGCAGTTTGAGACTGTCATGGAATAAACGCACCCAGAGCATCTACAATCTGTTTTCAACACAGATTTTCAGTTGAACCCTCCTCATCTTTCCCTCTCACAGCAGTTCAATTATTTCAATCATATACAATACTCTAAATCAGTATAGCATACAGATGCTCTGCCTTTATATAATGTGGGTCTAATGAATGCTGGGGCACTTTTGCCTGTGGAAGAAAAATAGTTGTGCAAGTTTATCTCAGGTTTTATTGGGCATATGAGAAAAGATCTAGGAATTCACTACAGCACTGGAACAAGCAGATATACCACGCAAATAAAAACCATCTCAGATGCCGCTGTTTGTGGTTGATGGAAACAATATTGGCTGTACCTCCTTCACCTCGCCTCCTTGGAGGCGCACTCAACAGATCAGCGGAGGTGACTCTCAACTATTTTCTCCACTATTTCTGGGCAGTGTGGGAAGGCGATGAGAGCCGCAGCAGTCATTACTCACGCCAGGATTTCACACCAGTGCAGGCTGCTCGTTGCCATTTATCAATTCCATATCAGTCACTCAGCTCCTCGCGCTGTGCGCGGACCTGCAGCCCAGCCACTAGCCCTGCCTGCACCCCAATTTCTCCCCAGCTGTGCTGGCGCTGCCAGGGGCCAAACCTTTTCTTTCCCCTCTGATTGTCATTGGGTATTGTGGCAGCAATCCTTCCTGCTCTCGCTGTCTGCAAAGCAGTTTAAAAAGCAAAAGCAGGCTGCTTTGATCACTGCAGGACACAAAATATTGTCTGGATGTGTTCACATGTGTTAATTCCCTTGCCTCGGGATCCATTCCTGTGCAGGGGGCCTGGCAGGGTCCTTTGTGTGTGGGAGCGTCCAGTCCTATCCAGAATCACGTTGGGGGTGCCACCAACAAAGCACAGCTGGTTAAAGCCTTAAGGGTTGCAATGTATGAGGGAGCTTAATCTGACACATAATGCAAAAGGTGGTAGTGGTACTTCTGGTATTGCTGTGGCAATGTAGGCACAGGCAAAGCTTTTAACCTTGGCTGCCAACGAGGAGAAAAATACTGGATAAACAGAACACAGAATTTCTTGGTTGAAATAATAGTAACGTATATATCTTTATTGAAAAATGTTCATTCTTTAACATACTTTTTATTGTACCCAGAGCTCAAGAGCTAGAATTGGAGGACCACCAAAGCAGGTTGGAACAAAAGCTGAGAGAGAAAATGGCCATTGATGGTAAGTCAAAGGGGAGAGTATGCTCCAGCCCACAATGATAGCCCATGCCCACACAAGTCACTGCTGGCTCCAAAACAGACTAGTATGGCTGAGGCTTTTCCTCTTGTGCTCTTCTGCGAGTGCAGCTCAGCCAGCAAAATGCAACTTGTGAGATCTTCTCAGCTGACTTCTAGTGACGACAGCTAAGCTAACCTGCCCAGTTTTACACTGAACTGGATCAGAAGCACTCGCACATGTAATTGCACTAATGGTGCTGTGCAGACAGCAACATCCAGCTAACATGCGATGACGGGCAGCAAAGGAAAGTAATTTCTTCAACAACCCAAACAAAACAGATGTTATCTGCTTTTATGTTAACTGTAGCATTATTGGTTACTGCAGTATTTTGGAACTGCTTTTAGGTACTTGAGGTAACAGTTTGGGCTTGTCCTTTCACTTGGTATTAGAAAGGAGATTGTGGGAAGGAGGAATGCAGGGAGAAGGGGGGTTACATAGCACTGAACACCCCAAAATATCCTGTGGTGTTCTAAGCATGTGGATTGTAAGTGACGGCCGCTTGCTATACTTTTTTTCTGAAAAAACACTTTCCCTTTTTTTACAGGTACTACATTTCGTGGTTAGGCTTTTTGCCTTGTATAAACTAAATTTAAACTCCAGCTTAAATGCTTTTATAAATAAGTAGTGCTCTTCCTACCCCTTCCAATCTAAGTTTTGCTAAAAGATCTCCTCTAGACATCAGGAGCCTTAATGGTCAACCTTAAATGGCCCGAATGCAGGAGAAATTTTCCCTGAACTGTAACATGAAAAATATTAACTGATATTGACTTCATTTGTCATTGATTATAATATTAATTCAACTTGTACACCAACAGTTACAATGCAAAACATAACAACAGAGTGATCTGGATTTTAACCTCTTGTTTTGTGATCTTTTAGACAGCCTTAAAGATGAGACGGATCTGAATGAGGAGGATGAAATTTTTACTGAGATGATGAAAGTGGTTGAAGAAAGAGACAAACTCGTGTCTACCTTAGAGGAGCAGAGAGTGAAAGAAAAAGCAGAAGACCAGCACTTCGAAAGCATTATATTATCCAGAGGCTATCAGTTGAGCAGGATTTAAATAGCCACATGCAAATAGACATGATTTCAGCAATATTTTGTAATCACAGAGATACAGTCTTCTGAAAAAATGAAGGAATTCAAATGTGATATCAGTTTATTTGGGAAACATGTTGTTCTGTTATCAAAAGCTCTTAAGCAGTTCTTTTGCTCATACTGGAGTGAGTCATTTCACTATCAGCTTAAAGGATCACCGAAATACAGAATAGGACTGAATTTACCTGTCTGATGGGCATCAGGGTCTGTGAAAGAGAAATCAGAGCTCTGTTGTTTTCTTGGAATTTTATTTTAATGCTGAGAATAGAGTTCCTGAGAAACACGATGACATCACTTAGTATTTTTGAGACTGCATTGCTTCCATCTGTTTGTCTGAATCTGTATGTGGTTTTGTTGATATTTTGGCACAGCCAACCCATGTTGAACTATTTAAAGGTCAGAAAGCAAGCATCTCATATAAAAATAAGGTTAATTTTTATTTCTGGTGGAGGAAGATCATTTGACTAATAACTACACATAAGCACTCATTAAAACAACTGTAAATGCAATGTCAGAAACTGTTTTTCCAGGTATTTGTAAGTTTTAATGCACTGCATATTTTTGAACAAGAAGTTAAAGCAATATTAAGTCCCTACATTGTGTAAAATGGTAAGGGATTATCAAAGGCGTGACTACCCTTAAGACTGTTACATGCTCATAAAAGATTTTGTATGTCACCGATTAAGGACTTCTCTAAAATATGCTAAATGATAATTTAAAAATATGAATCCAAACTAACTGCTTTACAATTGCTTGATCAAATACATCACAAATAGTATCACAGAATGTGATGAGTGGTGTAGCAGTTAAAGATCTCCCTGAGGATAATTCCTCAGAAGGTTTGCAAAAAATGTTGAGTTTGTAATGTCAACATTTGATAGAAAATGTTGTGGGTGTATTTAAACTACATCTGTCTTGCTGCTCAAGAGTATATATGCATATTTTTTTGCTTAAAGGAACTATCTCCTATCTTTTGTACAGGCATTTGTAGATACTGTAGAAATTCTCCTTAGTATTCGGTATAATTTCAGTACTTATTAAAATCTGAGATAATTCTGCGATTTAAGATTGGTAGTATTCCCAACTGTATATATGATGCACTACACTTTCAAACTGAAAAAACAAGGAGAAACTGAAAGACTGTTTCTTTTTTAATATCATTTTACCTCATGCTCTGAGAAGATTTGATGTTCACTTTATTTCGTGAATGGTGCTAATTTGCTGCAGTTGCCTATGGCACAGCCAAAGCTAGAAGCATTCCTGTTACAAAAGCTTTAAACCAAAAAAACCTCTTGGTAAGTACTTGTAGGGTAACAGACACACTGGATCCTGTCACAGTAATTTATGAATGATCTTAAGTTTTTGCTGTATTGTAAGAAATTTAAAATACCCTTTCTAAAGATAAAAAGATTTGCCTATTGACCACAGATAAATAATATCCCTCTGTTGGTGCAGGGAATATACTATGGTTCTGCAATATTTATGTATTTGTATTTATTTATTAGACTGTTTAAAGAGGGTAAGAGTGTCTGGTTACATTTTACAGTTTGGATGTTGTCTCTTATTTTGATTTATAGATATGTATTTCTAACAGCTATGTATAGGTAAAGCTGTGCATAGTAGAGTAGATAGCTTTACCGATTTGGTAAATAATTAGTGATAAAATATTAATTAAGATTTTTAAACAGCATTCTCAGTTACCATAACTTGAAGGGATACCCTTAAAACATAACATGTAGCGCTTTAACAATGTAATTTGTCTTTCATTGCAGTGGAAAGACATAGCAGAATCCTTGAATGTGTTCCAAAATTACCATCAGACTTTATTTTTTGCTGTCATTCATAGTCTAAGCATACCTGATCTTCGGATTACATTTTTATTGAGATGGATTGCAGTGACTGATTTTTATTTTTATTAAACAAAAAAAACCCAACACCACAAACCCAAATTCCCTTACTTAAGATTGACACAAAGTAGAAGCAGGCAGGGCAGCAATAAATAGTTTAATTTTCTCTGTTGAGATCTGCTGGTATTTCCAGTTTTGTGGAGAAAATTTCTGGATTTATCACTGTTCCCAGAGGCCTCATGTAATCCCGTAGAACAAGACTATCTAGAACATCTATCACAGTTTTCTGCAGAAAATGGAGAGGCATAATGCTTTCAAGGTATTTTTAAAAACTTCCAAAGCAAATTTCTTACTGCTTTGGACATGCGGGGAACTCAGCAGAAAGCTCCAGTTATACCAGGCAAGGATTGTTCTTTTCACCTCACTTTTATAATCTAATAAGTCCATTCACCTTAGTGTTGCTGCCATACAAAGAGGAAGAGGAAGACACATGATGCCCCTAGTCCTGAGGAGGAGATTGCTCTCCTCTCCCAAAGGCCAGACTGCTTGGCAGGGGAGATGCACACACTGCAATCGGTCTGGTTCAGATCACTCTGAATTGTATATAAGCCCCCAGATTTCAGTTTACAGCAGATATCTGTTTGCTATAAAACCAAATGTGAAAGGGTGCTTTCCTTTTAGCTCCAAAGATTTGAGTTCTTGACAGTCTTAGAGTCAACAGAAGCTGAGCGCCATCAGCTTTTTATGGACCTCAAAAACATTCTTTGCTAAAACAATACTTTTTCTGGATGCCATGTGGTCATAACACATGCTCCACCCAAAACTGTGTGTCCACTCTTGGGTGGAAAAACCTGCTAGGCTACTGTTACCCTGCATGATATTAAGTACCTCACAAGATTAGACCCAAAAATGAACTGTGCAAGTGACTTAGAAAATTAATAAACTCTTAAGTCATTTAAAGCAGGTCTTCATATATCATGAGAGTAGAGAATGAGGGGAAAAAGAAAAGAATCTATGTGCACTGTTCACAGGTCAATTTAATATGTTTGGCTTGTATTAGAAATGTGTTTAAACATTGGTTTGGTTATGAGTCTTCTTGCTGCTCAGTCTTTTCTGTAAATTGACTCACTAACTTATGCTAGATTTGTTCGTTTTTAAGTCATTGGCGCTGTCATTGTTGGGTATAATGTGATGTGCTGGAATGTATTGACTATGTCTAAATGGACTAGATGTGAGCAATTTTCTATTTAAAAAAAATAAAATTATATCTCACTCTCTGAAGTCCCTGAATCATTTCCATAGTAATTTCTCTCCACCAATATCTACAATGTAGTAATGCCTGTCTAGGAAAGATAAGAAATGATACTAGTTTCTTAATTCATATACTGGTAAGTAAATAACACCATCTTGCAGTTCACAGATTCATTTTATGGTTTAAGAATAATGACTTCCTGAAGTTAGAGGGCATTCAACTACCTTGAACACAAGAGGTTGTGAACTGCATGAGATCAACAACTTCCTCACATTCTTACATAGGAATTCACCACCTAATTTCTTTAGGCATGACCTACAAATTCTAACAGCTCCTTGAAGGCTTGAAGGAAAAGTGTCACTGCATGGACCACTAAGAATTGGTGATCAAAACCTTAACTGCCAATTTTCAAATTCCACTAACTTCACATCTTGTTTTGTTGCTTTCTACCAGGGGGAGACCCTTACAGAGCAAGACAACGTGCTGACCGAGATGAGAGAAGTGGGTAAGTAAGATCTGGGCTTATGTTTTAACCTCTGCTTTTTAGCCCAATGCATACCTGATTTCAACTAAGAATTTCACTTTAGTTTAGTAGTCTTTTTCCAGACAGATATACTCTGTTTTCTTTCTTACTTGAGTAAGTAACAGGATGTGGTTTAGCAGATTGGAGACTCTGTACATCTTTTAAGATTTTGCTACTGTTAAGACCTAAAGCTGTCCCTGCTGGGTTTTGCATGGACCATACAGTTTTTGCACAGTTTAGCATGATGGGTTTGCAATGTTAGCATGCAAATGCTATCCCTTCAGTCTTCATGGCAGCCACATCTCATGAACCTAGGTTGTGGCAAATACTTCATGATGAGTAAGGTGTTTGCTGGATTTCACCTAAATCTCTTTGCCTAATATTTATGAACAAATTGTGGTTTCTTTTGTTGGTTCTAATGAACTACGAAAAGAGATCTGGTGGCACTGTGTGCCAGCAATGTGCTTGCTGGAATATTCATGTAACACGGATACACAAAATTACAGGCACAAGTGAAGCTTATTAAGAAAAAATCATAATATTGGTTTGGTTTTTTTTCTAAAACTATGTCAACAATGCCAGATGTAAATGCACATAAACTTGGCCCGGTATTTATAAATAACATGTCATTCTATCAATCAGTTGTCAGAAGCATTAAATGCCAGGATGACGTTCTCATCGTCCTGAAAAGTTTAAGACCCACTTTCTTTCCTTTGAAACTTTCCAAATAATTACTCTCTGTGACTATACGCAACATCTTATCTTTTGCCTTTCATGTACACTTTTCCTCATTGCATCTTAGTCTATCTTTTTTTGCTCCTTGATCTACAACAAAAAATACATTGTACTTTTTAAGAATCTGGTTGAAAATACTCTGATACTTTTATGAAATTCTTTTAATTTATTGTTTGTTGTATTATTTAAAAAGAAGATTCTTATCCCAAAGAAGTTACAAGTTGAGTATAAAGCATAGTTGTTCTTTAAACACAAGCATAAGCATATGTTTAATCTGAAATTCACCTTGTGAGCTAGAAATAAACTTATCCTTAAGTGCGAGTTTTAGATGATGGTAGCAATGAATATTTGGAGCCCTTCTACCACTGATACTGATGCTTTATGCTGTTATAATGTAGCCACATTGGGATGATCACCCTGTCTTATATGTTGTGAGATCACAAGCAGCAAAGTCCTTTGGGGTGTATAAACTTTCTTGTGTGGGTATGGAATAAGGGACGTGGCTGTACCAATGCCAGCCAGGTATGGCTGTGCTTTAGCCAGCTCCCTGCACTGCCTCTCCCAGCAGCGTGCAGAGGTGGCCACTGCCCACAGCCACATGAAGAGGA